TTTCTTTCATGTATTACAATAGTTTACAATAAATAGAAACTTTTCTATTTTATGAAGGAAGAAGATTTGAATTTTTTAGAGATAAGTTTTAATTTAGTTTGAAAACCTTTTTCTCTTTATCTTAATTCATCTGAAATGCTGAAGGAGATTCGGTAAAGATAAAAGTTAAGAATGAAAAATTCTATTAATCAAGTTATGAAACAATTATTTCACTTATACTTTCGACTTAATCTGACATTTTACACATTATTAAAATTGTGGTCGTCAATCCGTTTGTTTTTTGAGAGAAATGAAAATATCTTACTCGTTAATAATTTTTTTCAGTTCATCAAACGTTTTTCCCTCATGATTCAAATCAAGAATTAATTCCATTTCGTCTATTAAAGAAAAACTAGACACAAACATTTATCGAAAGTAGTGAAAGATTAATCGAAGTGAGTATTTCATCTACTGAGTAATTAACAAAATATTCTTTTTTTCTTGACGAAGAAGTGCACAAGTATTTACTTGCAAAAGTACACTCTTCAGATCTATATACTACCGGCAAGCCATTTACTACAAATAATGATGATGGATCGATCTACAATGACGAGCACAGCATCCAGTGACTAATGGAGCCCGTTGAATCAGGGTCTAACCCCATAGTTGTTACTCTAAAAGTAATACTCTGTTATGTCCACATTCTTACATGATCACTGACAAGATGGTCATGAAAAATATGTAGATTGTTGACGATATTATGAATAAGAATTAGGTTCGGGTCCAAAACTTTTTGACTTGATTGATTCAACTAGCACGAGGAATATACGAAAGATGCACACGGAACGTGAGATGAGGGTTTGAAAATAACACGGACCGATCACAGTCATTATACTCACACTATCATTTATCATTCTCAGAATCGCCATGTGCATCTGTTGGTATCCAAAAACAAATATACCAAACGTTTCATTTCCACTATAATGTTTATTCTTGATATATACGTTCAAAAAATACCATACTTGAAGTGATTATAAAATATAGAAAAAACTGTATGTCATTGATGAATATTGTTATCAAATAGAAAATGATTGAACTGTTGTCATGTTTATTTCACTAAAAAGAGGATCAATGATTACAGAATTCTATTAGAAACATACTTGTGTAAAAAGATTTTGATTCCACGGGAAAAAAAACCTATTTTAAACACAACCGCGAAAACATTCTTGTAAAATAAAACATTTTATTCATCAAATCAAATAAATAACCAAATTTCATTTTCATCAGCGTTTTTGGTTATTCTCGTAAAGTTGAAAGTATGTTAATATTCTTTCAAATTAACAGATGGTTTTTATTGAGAAACAAATCAAAGTCTCAATATAGAATGTTGAACAAATAAAATTTTTCACAACTATCACGACTGAAAATAACAAGATTAGATATAATTAAATATCCATATCATGAACAATTGAGAAAGAGAAAACTAATAATTGTTGAGTTCGATTGTATCTAGTCATTTCAATAAAGTTAGATGTCATATAACTGGTATCAATAAAAATATTCTACAGTTACTGACATCTATTTACAATAGTTATTCAATAAGGAAATACGTAAACTTGAATAAAACAATAGTACATCAGAAAATTTTAAAGAAATGCAGTATAATTTAATTTTACATATATAACTGAAATTTTCGTTCTTTTTGAGTACGATCGTGATTAGCAAAGAAGACATCATCTGTAACATGAGTTAATATTTATTCATAACAAACGACAACTGATGAAAAGAACTAAAACAACAAAAATTAAATTAAACTGCATTTCTTTAAAATTTTTTGATATACTATGGTTTTATTGAAGATGGTAAAATCTTGAGTAAGTTTTAAATGGCCAGTTATTAGTTCTCATGGTTATGTTTATATGAATTTATTTACTTGTTGTGCATAGTAACACAATTTTTTATTGTTTTAATTTCTTTTAATCAGTTATTGTTGGTTAGGAATCAAAATGTGTCTCAGTCAAATAAATAAAAAACTTAGAAATATATGAAAAAGTAGCATGCCGCGATATCACAAGTGTATTGATATTATCTGTATTATTTTTACATTTAAAACTTTTACTACATTTTTTCAATACTCTGTGTAGAAAATAGCAATGCAATATTACTATTTGTTCACTGTTGGCAATTTCTTTATCAATTCTGATATGAGCTTACTAATGAGTGTTAATTAAAAAAAAATATTATAACTAGACCGTTTCTCAGTTATCGAAAACGTAATTTTTTAGTTATATACTTGTAATACAAATTTATGTTAGTTAAAAAAATATATAATGATCACGTTAAGCATTGATGATGTCATCTTTCTCGATTCAAACAAAAACATCAAGCATATGATTCAATTATCCTGTTTTTTTTTTACTTTTGAATTACGAAAGTAAGAAAGGTTCATGTCTTCAATATCTCCACCAATTTTAGCTAAGAAACTATGAATGATTCTTCTCATTATTTGCCAACTATATGCCAACAAAAAAAAAAATTTGAATATGATTTCTTGACGAATCGTAGAAATTAATAAAAGAAGAGCAGCTAATATAATACAAGAAAACAAAATTTCTTTTTATTATACATATAATACGAATGAATAAAAATCAAAAATTACTCTAGCAAGATTGTGAGTGACGATTCATTCATTGTACACATGACAAAACTTAAGTTTTTGGGTGTTTCTAGATGCAATTTGGATGATAACTGATATAAAACTTTTGCTTGTTTATTGTTATACTAATATGTAAAATCTACATTAAAGTGTTCCATTCATTTTGAAATTGATGATAATTACTTCGATATTTCATAATTTTCAAATTTCAATAACAGTCTATTTGGCCAGTAGAAATCGTTATTTAACTATTGCCTCAATTAAAATTGAAATTATATTTTTTCTTGTTTCGTTTACATTATCAGCATGTCAATCATATGTATAATGACAAAAAAATAATCACACTAACGCTGTCCTTGCTGTCATTTTCGTTCTTGTTGGAGAGAACGAAACAAAATTATACAACGTATAAGACAAGGTATCTAATGCAATGAAACTCAAGTCACGCTTCATATGACACGTAAATGAGAGTGGGAAAAAAATATCATACGATCAGTGATGTTGTGGGTTTTTTTCCCTTTAATTTATTTTTGATAAGCATACCTTCAATTACTAATAGGCATATTTTGTTATTGAGTGTCAACGAAAAAACACAATATTCATATTTGACGTCAGAGAAAAATCTAGAAAAAAAAACAACGTGCATCAAATGTATAAATACAAAAGGTAAATTTTGTCCAAACAGCCATTTATTATTTAAGATACGCAATTACCTATCGCACACAAAATATCACATCAAAAATGAGTCAACAACCAAGACGACGTTTTCCTGAAAACTACATGGTTATTTGGGTTGATGGAAATATGGATATGACCAATAAAGATTACCAAAATACAATGGACCAACTGCGTGGCGTCGTGAACCAAGTCAGTCTGTGTACAACAGCTGAAGAATGTATTCAACAGCTGAATGAAAATCCTGAAGAGATATCATTTGTTATCTCCTCAGGTGCACTTGGACAACATCTTGTACCAAGCATCCACGGCATGACAAAATTGAATGCTATATTCATATTTTGTCGTAAGAAAGAACAGCATCAAGTATGGGCCCAAAATTGGACAAAAATCAAAGGTGTTCACACAACAATCAAACATATTTGTGAGAAATTGGCCATAGCAACCAAACAATGCAATCAAGATCATATGTCGGTGAGCATTGTTAGTGTGAATGCAGGAGGTTCTAGTAAGAATCTAGATCAGCTGGAACCTTCGTTCATGTATTCCCAAATATTCAAGGAAATACTCCTTGAGATACCACATTGTCATCAAGAGTTTGAAGACTTGATTATGTTTTGCCGAAAAGAATACAAGGACAATCCTCAAGAAATCAAGAATATTACAGATTTTGAAAACACTTATCACGCAACAAAAGCCCTTTGGTGGTATACGCGTGAGAGCTTCACGTACAAAATGATCAACGGGGCATTACGGACCCTCAACGGCGATATAATGATACTAATGGGTTTTTTCCTGTGTGATGTACATCGACAAATCCAAGACTTGCACAAGAATCAGGTCAGTCAATATCATGATAAAACTTTTACAGTCTTTCGAGGACAAGGCCTATCGAAAGCACACTTCGAAAAGCTTGCCAAAAATACGGGTGGGCTTTTTTCTTTTAATAACTTCTTATCAACCAGCACAAATCAAAAAGTCTCTCACGATTTCGCCAAGGAAGCCTTAAGCACAAATGATATGGTTGGAATACTATTCCAAATAACAATCGATCCTAAGATGTCATCGACTCCATTCGCCTCCATTCGTGAAGAAAGTTATTTCAAAAAAGAAGATGAAATTCTCTTCACCATGCACACGGTGTTTCGCATTGGTGAAGTGCGAAAAATTGACAACAATCGTCCACTTTACCAAGTTGATCTTAAACTTACGTCAGATGATGATCCACAACTTCGACAATTAACTGACTACATACGGCAAGAAGTCGACGGCACCGGATGGTATCGAATGGGACAATTGTTACTCAAAATAGGTCAATTCGACAAGGCCGAAGAACTATATATGGCACTACTAGAACAGGCATCGAACGATAGTGATAGAGCATATATTAGTAACATGCTTGGATGGGTGAACTGGAACCAAGGACAATACAAAGAAGCAGCTTCCTTTTACAACAAGTCTCTCGAAATTTACCGAGAAATTCTACCAGAAGATCATCAGACCTTGGCTAGTACGTACAACAACATTGCTCTAGTGCACAACAGCATGGGTGATTTCTCGAAAGCACTTGAATTTTACGAAAAATCACTTAAAATAAAAGAAAAAGCTCTGCCTTCGAATCATCCTGATTTGGCTACTTCATACAGCAACATCGGTCAAGTGTATAACGACATGGGTGACTACTCGAAAGCACTTGAATTTTACGAAAAAGCACTTAAAATCGACGAGAAAACTCTGCCTCCGAATCATCCAGATTCGGCTACTTCATACAGCAACATCGGTCAAGTGTATAATAACATGGGTGACTACTCGAAAGCACTGGAATTTTACGAAAAATCACATGAAATCTACGAAAAAGCTCTGCCTTCGAATCATCCTCATTTGGCTAAATCATACGGCAACATTGGTCAAGTGTATAATAACATGGGTGACTACTCGAAAGCACTTGAATTTTACGAAAAATCACATAAAATCTACGAAAAAGCTCTGCCTTCGAATCATCCAGATTTGGCTACTTCATACAACAACATTGGTGCAGTGTATAATAACATGGGTGACTACTCGAAAGCACTTGAATTTTACGAAAAAGATCTAGAAATCACAAAAAAAGCTCTGCCTTCGAATCATCCAGATTTGGCTACATCATACGGCAACATCGGTCAAGTGTATAATAACATGGGTGACTACTCAAAAGCACTTGAATTTTACGAAAAATCACATAAAATCTACGAAAAAGCTCTGCCTTCGAATCATCCCTCATTGGCTATGTTGTTCTGGCACCTCGGCTCGATTTATGAGAAAATGAATCAATACTCAAAAGCACTCTCGTTCCTAGAAAAATCACTTGGCATCTACCATAAATCACTTCCATCAAACCATCCGCATATTGAATCGGTCACAAAGGCGATTGACAATATAAAAAAGAAAATGTAATTTGTTTTTTTTTCGATTTGCTTAATAAATTTATTTCAATTACAATTCACTTCACTTTTCTCGGGTTATTCTCGCGTACGCGCGCGACCAGGAAGACTCCCTGTAAGCCCGCAATGGTTACACGCAGAGCGGACCACGCCGGACTGGTAGGGCATGATCATAGGTGTGACGTACGTAAACGGCGACAGGGACCTACGAACAGACGGCCTTCCCGAGTACTCCACTGCTTTCTCCAACATAGGCACAAGAAATCTCCCTGGGTCAGATTACGAAGCCATCTGACGGGCTGTGATATAAAATAGTATCTATCTCCCTCTCTACATAATAATATAAGTATGAAAGAAAAAAGAAAAAAATAACTTGAAAAGTTCTAGTGGCCAATAGAACTTTTCAACTTATTTATAAATTTTTTATCCCAATACGAAAATAAAAAAGAAACAACATACTCTATTTAAGATTGAAATATATATATGTATAAATATCATAATTATGTACATAATTGTATCTTGCACCTCCTGAAAAAAAAAATAAGATTTATGAGAATACTTATTCAATCTATTGTTGATACAATAGATCGATTGAATTGAATGATTTTATACAAGAAAATCATTCCTTATATAGGATATTTGAAAAACATGAACTATCATTCAATGATAATGATTAATAGATAATCATCGACGATCAATTTATCGTCAGTCGATGATGAATATGTACTTATTCTATTTACATTACATTCACAGCCGTAACTCAGTGACTAAAAAAAAAAAAAA